AGAAAGCCTACAAGCTGGAGGCAGAGGGAGAGAGTATCTGAAGCAGACTCTGCGCTGAGCGCAGAGCCCAGTGCGGGGCTTGATCTCACAACCCTGAGATCATGACCTGAGCCGAAACCAAGAGTTGGCCACTTAACTCACTGAGCCATCCAGATGCCCCCAGCGGGAACATTTTAACTGACTGGTTCTTCTCCAGGTAGACTTGGCTGCCCCCCCCCGTGTGTGTGTGTGTGTGTGTGTTTCCAGCAAGGAGGCTAGGTTTCTTACATGGTGGTGGTTCAGGGCTCCCAAAACCACAAAAATGGAAGCTGCCAGGCCTTAAGCAAGTGTGTGTGTGTGTGTGTGTGTAATGGGACAGGACTGCACCAGGATGTGAATTCGTGTGTGTGTGTGTGTGTGTGTATTGTAACCCAACTACCACGTATAGTGTAATAGTGTGTGTGTGTGTGTGTGTGTGCTCTTAAAATGAGCAACTCCTAGCCTATCTTGTGTGTGTGTGTGTGTGTGTGTTCCAGATTATTTTGAAGCAAATCCCCCAGACGGTGTGTGTGTGTGTGTGTGTGTTTACTAGATCTCTCTAAAATTTAATTCAAGTCGTGTGTGTGTGTGTGTGTGTGTTGTCATAAAAGCTTTTTAAAAATATCTCTGCTGTGTGTGTGTGTGTGTGTGTGTATTCCTGTTCTGATTTTTATCACCACAGATCAGTGTGTGTGTGTGTGTGTGTGTATATAAATGGATTCATACTGCATGTACTCTTGGTGTGTGTGTGTGTGTGTGTGTTTTTGAGATGTATTCATGTTATATGTAGTAGTGTGTGTGTGTGTGTGTGTGTGTTAATATTCTGTGGTATGAATATGACACTGTTCGTGTGTGTGTGTGTGTGTGTGTGGGCTTTGCCTAGTTTTATGCTATTATGAATCGTGTGTGTGTGTGTGTGTGTGTTATAAGGCTTTCTGTGGACACACATTTTTTGTCCTTGGATAAATACTTAGGAGTGGAATTGCTAGGCCATAGAATAGGTGATTATTGTGTGTGTGTGTGTGTGTGTGTGTCAAGTTTCCTAAGTGGCTGTAGTATTTTACGTGTGTGTGTGTGTGTGTGTGTAGTTGATTGTTCCATGTGCTTGCAAACTTTTGGTGTGTGTGTGTGTGTGTGTGTAGCTATTCTAGTGGGTTTCATGAGTGTAGTGGTATCATGAATTTTTTTTTACTTTTACAGTTTGTTTTAATTGGGATACAAATAAGGTGTGTGTGTGTGTGTGTGTGTCCTCTTACATGTATTCTGTTCTGTGGGTGTTCCACTCTCCCTGTCCCCCTTCCCTCACTCTTTCTCTTGTTTCTTATAGTTTATTTGTGTGTGTGTGTGTGTGTGTGTTCTGTCTTACATATATTAGTAGAGTGTGAATTGTGTGTGTGTGTGTGTGTGTGTTCTTCTGTGTTTTCTATAAATTGTTAGTGACAGTGTGTGTGTGTGTGTGTGTGTTTTATGATCATTGTGTAGATCTGTTCATCAGGGTGTGTGTGTGTGTGTGTGTGTAACCTTAGCACTAGCACTCTTTTTTTTTTTTTGTGTGTGTGTGTGTGTGTGTGTAGGGGAGCCAGGGCGGGGGAGAGGGGCAGAGGGTGTGTGTGTGTGTGTGTGTGTATCTTAAACAGGTTTCATGCTCAGCGCAGAGCGTGTGTGTGTGTGTGTGTGTGTAACCCTGAGATCATGAGTCAAATCCAGAGTCAGTGTGTGTGTGTGTGTGTGTGTCTAAGTGCCCCCCAGAACTCATTTTGATCTATGTGTGTGTGTGTGTGTGTGTGTCCTGGGTGGCTCAGTCGTTAAGTTTCTGCCTTGTGTGTGTGTGTGTGTGTGTGTGTCCTGTGATCGAGCCCCACGTCGGGCTCCCTGTGTGTGTGTGTGTGTGTGTGTCCCTCTCCCACTCCCCCTGCTTGTGTTTCCTTGTGTGTGTGTGTGTGTGTGTGTAAATAAATAAAGTCTTTAAAAAAATAAATATAATTCCATAAAAAGAAATGCCTCATCTCTGTGGTCACCCTGAGGTAAAGTTTATAGTGTGTGTGTGTGTGTGTGTGTCTGATTATTTCCCTTTGTTTACTAATTTTGAAGTGTGTGTGTGTGTGTGTGTGTTCCTCTAAATATTTAGATTTTATGTATTTCAGGTGTGTGTGTGTGTGTGTGTGTTTAATGCTCAAAATGCTCCATCTTTTCTATTCGTGTGTGTGTGTGTGTGTGTGTACCCCTCTTGTATCTCACAGAAAAGGACAATAGTGTGTGTGTGTGTGTGTGTGTTTTTGAGTCACTTAGAGCTGGACTCTCACCTCGTGTGTGTGTGTGTGTGTGTGTACCTATTTATACTGTAACACATACTTCAATAAGTGTGTGTGTGTGTGTGTGTGTTTACAATTTAAGAATCTATATTCTTAAATTCTGTGTGTGTGTGTGTGTGTGTGTAAATTCTGTATTCTTAAATCTATATTCTTAAAGTGTGTGTGTGTGT